CGCGCGCGCGTCTGTTGTGTATGCATCAATGGTACATTTATGAATTTAGATTTTCGCCCGTTCTTTCGTAATGCTACAAAATATCAAGTTTTTATAGCCTACATCAACCAAGAAGACATTACGGAAGAAGATAACAACGTTATTAGTGGATATTATTGTACATGTCAATCTGGAGCAATAACGCTTGGTACTTGTGCACACGTTGCAAGTATTTTATGGTATCTGGGGTATGCACGCCATCAACCACATATTAAATATCCCGATAGAAGTTTGTTGCATACAACAATGGATGCAGCTGATAGAGCAGATCAAGAAGATCTCAATAATAATATAGAAGTTATAGATAATTGAAATACAAGTTCAAATTCGTGAGAGGCAAGGGGACTCACGAAAATCAAGCACCCCAAAGGAGTAAAACGCCCGTCACGTCCACGTCGTTTATTCCGGATAATTCTGAGAACGGGCGAAAATCTAAAATCATAAATGTACCATTGATGCATACACAACAGACGCGCGCGCGCGCACGCACACACGCACACACATGAAACTTCTAGTTTTATGCACCTTTATAATATAAAAATGCACGCGCGGACATATGTGTGTGGGAATAGGGGTAGGGATGGGAGTGAGGGTGGGGGTGGTGAGAGTGGTTAGCATATTGTTATCTAAAATCTCTCGATTTATTACAGAAACTTGCTTTTTTGAGGCATTAACAAAATAAAACTTTAAATGGCTATAACAAAAAAACTAGTCATGATCAAACTTTGTGCCTATGGACACTTTTGATCAGTGGGTCAAGAACTATAACATACTAAAATTTCAGCCAATTTAACCGAGGGCCAAAATCCTATGATTTTGTGCGGAGTAAACGTAGCCAATGTGGATAATAGCTGGTAAAGGATACATGATGTAAAGGTTATATAGATCGAAACATACAATTATAGTGTATATAAATATAAAGTTCGGAACAAATTAAATTAAATTAAATAAAAAGTTTTATATGTTTTAAGTGTAATACGTCAATACTTATAGTATAATCTGACGGCAGATTGACAATGAGAGCAAATCGAGAGCAGAACTTAATTCGAACAGACTCTGCTCGGTTTCTGTCACTAATCTGCTGGCATAACATGTTTAGCAGGCTTTGTCATATTTCTGATAGCAATTTGCTAACAATCTCAGTAATACAAACTGTGTACAATTGAGTTGTGTACACACTGTGTACAGTTGAGTCTATCAACAAGCTTTGTCGACAAATCCATAGCCAAATGCGAACACAGATGGCTATGGTTTTGTAATCTTTGATAAAGTCTGCTTCCAATTTGGTTCCAAATTGCTAACATTTTGTTATCAGGGTATATTAATGTTCAAATTCACACAGCAAAAGAAATTTGTGGAATCTCGTCAAGATATCATGCTGGGATATCGCAATATCTCAAAGATATTCAGTAGACATCTGGATATATGGCAGATATCAATAGGATATACTAATGTCCACACCAAAGAAGGACTAAGATATCTCAAGTTTAAGCGAAATATATTCTTACGTTATTCCTGAGATATCCGTGATTATTGTTGCTTATAATAAAATCTGAAATGTTACCGTAGGTATATTATAAAGATATATTAGAGATAATTATAGTATCTAGTCGGGATATATTTGGGAGAATGTTTTTTTTGTAATTATAATGATGGCTTAATTTACACCGACTATACAGACATATTACGGTAGTACGTAATCTCGAAGGTTTCTGGCATGCTAAAACCAAATCCACAGCCCAAATTGCACCATCAGGTTTCTAAAATATTCTAACCTTAAAATTCCAAAAAGGCGTTCAATGTAGAACCAGCTTTATTTGGCTGTTCAGAAATGTACGTGTAAGCAAATCT